CTACCCCCACCTCCAGCTTCTGGCATTGTGTGAGTCAGGTTTCTGGTCTTATGGCACCCCCTTTCCAACTTTTCTATCCTTATCCTCCATCACTAGGCTCTTAACCATATCAAGGTCAACAAGGCAAAATTATAGCTTCCAATAATTCCTGAACACAAAGAATGATGGAGGAAAAGAATAGAAAACTTAAAGGAGGCATCACAAGACTAAAACCTGACTCACAGAAGGAGGTGGGGGTAGAGGAGATCAGTATAGCCATTGACCCAGCTATAGAAACTAAGATATTTAGGCGCCAATGCCTAGATCACAAAGCACAAGACCCAAGCAGGAATCAGACTGCTGCAGGGAGTGTCAGGAGGGCAGACCCAAAGGTAAAGATGAAAGGTCCGTGCAGGAGGCCGGAATGCAAAAACTCACCAGGTAGCCCACCTGGGAACAGGAATGAGGAAGCCTGCCTAGAGAATTCAGACAATGAACCTTCCCCTTCCCTACAAATCTTTTCTCAGGCAAAGAAACTCCCCCGCCCTACAAACTTTTTCCCGCCGTAGGAACCCAGTCTCCCACCTGACCTCCTCACCCTATAAAAGCCTGCATCCCCCTGACAACAAGCGCGGCTTCACTGACCCCCATCTTGGGTCCATGAGGTCTGCCCTGGGCGCAATAAATTTTCCCCGCCTTTGAGCAATTTAGCCTGGTCTCCTTTTCTTTACCACACCGAACCTTTCAAAAGATATGAAGATTGAGCCCACTGTGGAATCTCTGGTCCCTTTCAAATTCTACATTAGTCTATTTGAAGGCAACAACAAACAAACCACTCCAGGAAGGAGTGAGCCCCTCCCAAAGAGAAGGCTATATCAATACAATCTCTGCACTGACTGAGGGCAGCAGTCCTGCCACCTCTGCTTATGCAGGTGCTGCTTTTCACCAACTCTCTCCCTCCGCAGAGCAGCAGCCTTCCTGCCTGCCCATGACCTGTACCATGCTGGGGCTTCGCCTCACTGACCTCCCTCAGCAGAGGCAGCTCTCCCCTCTCTCAGCAAACCTGTCCCTTTGGGGGCAGCTATTTCTGCCCTTTTCTGTCCCTTTTTCTAATAAAACTACTCTTGTAAGTATAATTGATGTTTCGGTCTCGTGGAGAAACTCGCTTGGGAAACTGACTGCGTGCTGCTGAAAGGGGCGCTCTGGTGAAACCTTTCCCAGAGTGAACCAAGGACCCTGCTCTCAAAACCCATCAACTCCAAAAGGACATCAAAGACTATGTTTACTTTTATTTATGCTGGAAGTAAGGGAGTTATTTCGACAATATTCCCCAAAACAGGAGCTACTCTAAAAGCACACCTATCAGTGAGAGTCAATGCAGGGGCCAGGAATAAGGACGCCCACGTAGAAAAAGACAAGATGACCCTGACACCAGGACCACTGGCACACCACCAGCCTAAACTGAAGCCATAAACAGGAGAAAACAACTCGGCTCCACCCAAAACAACTTTGTTCCACCTAAACCTGTTTCCCCTCTGCCAACCGTTTTCCTGCCTGACCTCTCCTCACCCTATAAAAGAGACATCTCTCCTCACAACGGAAATGGCTTCACGACCCCCACCTTGGGTCCGTGAGGTCTGCCCGGGGCGCAATAAATTTTCCCTTCCTTTGAGGAATTTAGCCTGGCTCTCCTTTTCTTCACTGCTCTGAACCTTTTAATCAGTATAAATGTTAGCAATTTTGGGCCTCCCTAGTGGCCTAGGGGTTAAGTCTCTGAGCTATTACTGCTTTGGTGTGAGTTAGCTCCCAGTTTGCCTGTTATTTAAGCTCCTGACTCTGTCTCTGGTGAATCCTCTCAACCGCCCCCCCTCCCCCCACCCACACACCTCTGGCCTAAACCCAGCTTTTGTATGCATTTAAAAAAAAATTTCAAGGGGCCTCCCCGATGGCGATGGCGCAGCGGTTGAGCTCTGGGTTGCGAGGCTGCCTGCGGCCTCTGCGGCGCTGGTTCGATCCCTGGCTGCTCCCCGGCCTCCGGAGGAGGGTCCCACATGGTGTGCAGACCTCTCCTGCCGCCCGCTGCTCCCCTCAGCAGTGTATTTCAGTCCTTCTGCCTGCTCTGCTCCCCGCTTTGGCTCTGGTGAATTCTCTCACTCTCCCGCGCTTCTGACTGTACCCAGTGCATGTGTAAACAAAACAAACAAATAAATAAAACATGCCTCTATTAAAAAATTTTTTTTTTTTCAAAAAAAAAAAAAAGACAGCTGTTTGGGTACAAAAGAAATCTGAAATGTAATTTTAGCAACAACCAGGAAAAACTTTGCAGTTAATACTTATGTTTTTTGCGGCCTCCCTTGTGGCACAGCAAGTGGTTAAGTCTCAGCAGTATAAAGCTATTGGCAGCCACTGCAGCACTCCTGGCCAGGGAGCTGACCCACAGGGCTCAGCAGACATCTCCTGTCTCACCTGCTGTTCCCCTTAGCAGTGTATTTCAGTCAGTCCGTCTGTTCTGCTCCCCACTCTGTCTCTGGTGAATCCTCTCATCCCCCTGCCCCTCGGGCTACGCCCCAGCTCCTGTATGCATAAATAAAAAAAATAAATCTTTAAGAAAAAACTTCTATGTTTAGAGAAACTTAGAACATCATAAAGCGTAGCTGGATCCAGGTATAACCCTTATTTTGATATTATTTTTTTAATTTTATTTTTATATTCCCCATACAATTACAACCCCCTTATTTTGACCCCAAGCCCTCCTTTCCCCGCCCCCCACGCCCCATAGAGTATCTCTGGTTCATAGTTGTTTGTTGATTTTGATATTTTCTTTCTTATAGTTATTCTTTTTCCTGGTCCCTTATTTAAGTTTTCTAGATTCCTGCTATGAGTGAGACCATCCGATATTAATTTTTTTAAGATTTATTTATGCATACAAGAACTGGGGTACAGGCCAGAGGTGTGGGAAGTGAGAGGATGTACCAGAGACAGAGTGGGGAACAGAGCAGGCAGATTGACTGAAATACACTGCTGAGGGGAGCAACAGGTGAGTCAGGAGGTCTGCTGTGCCATGTGGGTAGCTCCCTAGCCAGAGATCCAACTCATGCTGCAGTGGCTGCAGATATATTCATAGGTTGCATCTTAACCTATTGCACCACCAGGGAGGCCCTATTCTGATATTTAGATGAGCTAAATATCAAACCTGCGTTTGAGAGAAACTACAGGTCTTTTTTTTTTTTTTCTACTGAAGCTTTAATTATTAACCTTGTGTGCCTTAAGGTCAAAATTTTATTAAGTGGATGTTATGCTCCTATGAGGTGACTTGGGAGAACAAACAGATCACCCACATAATGTCAACAAGGTGTAAGAATAGAGCATAACAGCAGCCATTTTAAAGTACAGCAGCTATTTAAGAGCTTAACGGACAGGTTGCAATTCCTGGAATCCAAGATTCTAAGAACCTGTCCGTAACCATTAGATTACCCTAACAGTTGGATTCCTAGAATCCACATCTGAAGCCGTCAGATTACCCTAAGGGACCCATTCTGTATGCCTATTTAAACTGCTTAATTTTGGTGCTCGGGGTCCAACCCTGTCTGGGCGCGGCCGCTGTGTCGGTTCCACTCCAGGGGTTCGGACCCTAGCTCCAGCTAGCTAATAAGGGCCACTTTTGCTTTTGCATCAAACTTGGGTCTCAGTGGTTCTTGGACTCGGCACCCGGTGTGCTCCAACAAAGATGTAATACCTGGGGAATGCTATATTGTCCAAATCAGCCCAGGAGCTATAAGAAATAAGGGCTGAAGGCAAAACCCTGAAGCATTACTATTCGACCTAAAGCACTATCACTAGGGAACTAAATACTGGGTGGCCTCCCTGGTGGCCTAGGGTTTAAGTCCCAGCGCTATCTCTGGGATGGCCTGAGTTCAATCCCTATCCAAGGAGCTAATGCGCACGGCCCACCAGACCTTTCCTGTTCCCCCACTGCTCCCCTCAGAAGTGTATGACAGTAAATCCACCCACTCCGTCTCTGGTGAATCTTCTGGTCCCCCACACCTCTGGCCTGTACCCCAGCTCTTCTAAACAAAAATAAATAAAATCTATAAAAGTAAATATTTTTTGAAAAAAGAAAACTAAAGAATGCACTCAATCACAGTAAAGACATTTTCAGCTACAGTAGATGCTTTGAGCCTGTAAGGGAAGGAACTAGTCAGGAAATGACAATGTGGCTGAGTGCTTACAGGCCCTGGACAAATCCCCAAACCTAGTCCTTATGTCCTCCCGGACTTAGAGCAGCAGGGCCTTGTAAAAGGATGAGCCTCTGGGCCTTACAGAGGCTCTTCTGTTTTAGGCTATGTGACTTAAAGAGTCTCTCCACATACAGGGTACTGCAGTGATTAACTTCGGGGAGGGTTTCCAGGAAATATTTGAATGTTGATGGGAAGTGTACTATGAATTTGGTACATTTTATACATGAGGTTAAAAGCTGATTCAACAAATACTGTCTCTAGAATAAACTCTAGTGTCAGCGATGTGGCAAATAAAAGATGTCAAAGGTTCATTTAATTGCTGGGTTGGCTATTTTCACTATTGTTACTGTCAACTTCTATAATTATTTCCTTCTTCTGATATAAAAAGATCTTAACATGATACTTTTTAAAAAAGATTTATTTATTTTTGCATACAAGAACTGGGGTACAGGCCAGAGGTGCAGGGGGTGAGAGGATTCACCAGAGACAGAGTGGGAAACAGAACAGAGTGGGGCCTCCCTGGTGGCACAAAGGGTTAAGACGCAGCACTATGAAGCTATCCGCAGCCACTGCAGCTAGAGTTCGATCCGCCACCAGGGAGGTGACCCACATGGTGCAGCAGACCTTTCCTGACCCACCCGCTGTTCCCCTCAGCAGTATACTTCAGTCAATCTGCCTGTTCTGTTCCCCACTCTGTCTCTAGTGAATCCTCTCACCCCCAGCACCTCTGGCCTGTCTCCTAGTTCTTCTATGTATAAACAAATCGTTTTTTTTTTTTTTTTTTTTAAAGAAAGAAAAGAACAGGCAGAATGACTGAAACACACTGCTGAGGGGAGCAGCGGGTGAGACAGGAAAGGTACGCTGTACCATGTGGGTTGCTCCCTGGCTGGGCATCAAACTGGTACTGCAGTGGCTGTGGACAGCTTCATAGGTCGCATCTTAATCCCTTGAGCCACCAGGGAGGTCCTCAGCATACTTTTCTAATAAATCTGAAGCTACAAGAATAAAGGTGGAAGAGAAGTTTTCTTTCAAAGAGCCTAAACACAAAATAATATCAGAATGAGCAACCATTTGAGGTTTATTAGAAATCTACAATGTTTGAACTGTTTCAGTATTCCAATGTAGTAAGGGCTCTGCTCCACTGAACTGTGATGTTGAGCACCAAAAGCTAAGCTCTGGGTCAATAAGGAGAGAGATTCGTTTCCAATCTGTAGATCTGATTTAAGTCAATTAAGAGAGCGACTGGGGAGAAGTCCCTGTACTTGCTTGGAGTCCCATCAATGAGATTTGGGAGGACATTGCAAAAGTTGGTTCAAAGTCTCATAGAGCATGCGACGCTTAAGTTTGATGCAATCTCTTTTCCAGTGTCCTGGCTTTTTGCAATAATAGCATATAACAGGACTTTGATTCAGTTTAGGCACCTGCATTTCACAGTTTTGAAGATTTAAGTTTTCAGTGCTCACTTCAGGTGACTCATCTACATAACTATGAAATTGTTCCTGGGTATAAGTAGCCAGTTTACTAATCTCCGCTAACACAAAATCCAGCCCGAAGGTTTGGACCAGTTCATGAAACTTGGCATATCCTGGATTGGTCTCTTCTGTTGATTCCAGCTTCACAGCTGGAGCTGAGTAAGGCAGGTGGCTAGCACTCTGCATCATAACTTCACTCTCAATGAAGGGTAACCTTGGTGGAGATTCTGCCTTGATATTCTCTTCATCCCCATACAGAAATTTCTCCTCATCTTCAATGTCAGAGAAACTAAGTCTCCTTTTTTTGTGTGGACTGGTAGATTCTGCAAATATACTCAGAATCCGTGAAAAACCACTGCCATCCTGGATAGCTCTCTCATGAGGCAGCAAAAAGTCTGTGAGTTGGTCAGGTTCCTGAAGCTCCACCCCTGATTTCTCCTTGTGGCACAAAAAACTTCCAAAGTTCTCTCTGACATGACTATCATCTACAGTCTTTGAGGCAAAAGCAGTAACAACACCATGCAGTGGAAAGGACGGGTGTGCAGAGTAGAGAGGGTGATCCTGGCTGGAACTGGTACTGCTGGAAAAACTCTCAAGCTGAAAAGACAAACATAACTAACTTAGCCTTTATGCAGAATTGAAAACTACCAATTGAGATAAATACTTAGGGCCCCCCTGGAGGTGCAAGGAGTTAAACATCAGCACTATAAAGCTATCCCACAGCCACTGCAGCAAGAGTTCCATCCCCTGCCAGGGAGCTATCCCACATGTAACAGCAGACCTGTCTTACCCGCTGCTCCCCTCAGCAGTGTATTTCAGTCAATCCAACTGTTCTGTTCCCCACTGTCTCTGGTGAATTCTCTCACCCCCCCCATTTCTGGCCTGTACCCCATTTCTTGTATGCATAAATAAATAAATCTTTGGAAAAAAAAAAAAAAACAACTAAATAGCTCTCAAATTAGGCCTCCCCGGTGGCGCAGCGGTTGAGCGCTGGGTTGCGAAGCTGCCCGCGGCCTCTGTGGCGCCGGTTCGATCCCCGGCTGCTCCCCGGCCACCGGAGGAGGGTCCCACATGGCGCGCAGACCTCTCCTGCCGCCCGCTGCTCCCCTCAGCAGTGTGCTTCGGTCCTTCTGCCTGCTCTGCTCCCTGCTCTGGCTCTGGTGAATTCTCTCACCCTCCCGCGCTTCTGACTGTACCCAGTGCATGTATAAACAAAACAAACAAATAAATAAATAAATAAATAAACATGCCTCTATTTAAAAAAAATAAAAATAAAAATAAATAAATAGCTCTCAAATTAATAGGAAAGCTACAGTGGTTGCAGATAGCCTCATAGGCTGTGTTTCAACCCCCTGTTCCACCAGGGAGGTCCCCAGCTTTTTTTCCAAAAACCTAATTGACCAGCCTCCCTGAGGCACTTACTCAGACACCTTGGGTTCCTACAGAGTGCTCTTGCCTGGGCCATTTTTTTTTTTTTAAAGATTTGTTTATTTATGCAAACAAGAGCTGGGTACAGGCCAGAGATGCAGAGGGTGAAAGGATTCACCGGAGAGAGAGTGGGGAGCAGAACAGGCAGATCCACTGAAATACACTGTTGAGGGGAGCAGCAGGTGAGACAGGAGAGGTCTGCTGTGCCATGTGGGTAGCTTCCTGGCCGGCTGGGGATCGAACTCGTGCTGCAAAGGCTGTGGATAGCTTCATAGTGCAGTGCTTAACCCCTTGCGCCACCAGGGAGGCCCTGGGACCATTTTTTTAATATATACGGGGAAAAAAGAGATCAAGGCCCAGAATGGTGAGATGACTTGCTAAAAATCACATAACAATTTAGTGGCAGAGGTGGGCCCAGGGTCAGAAACACCTCATTTCTGGTCCAGTGTCCTCCCACTCATAACATTCTGTCCTCTCTGAAGAGAGATAAGGAAATTGCAGATCATCTCCTCCCTGTGCCCTCTTAAGCATCATCCCAAGAAACCCATATTCTAAGATTCCTACAGGACTAGTAGCCAATGTAGAGAAAAAACTTACAAGGCATACTTGCCAAAAGGTCTGCTTAAAGAGCCCAACCATGACAACAGAAGCCCACTACTGATGTATTTGGAACCTACAGATTGCTCTGGACAGTTCTGGGAGGTGCAGCTCATAGGCATAACAATGTTGGCACAGCAGATGTTACCCACATAGCCTCAGGGACTCAGACCCCAGCACAGAAAGCAGGCTTCAAGATAGTGGAAGGAAGGCCTCCCTGGTGGCACAGGAGGTAAAGACAGCGTCACCAAGTTATCCCAGCCACTGCAGCATGAGTTTGATCCCTGGTCGGCCAGGGAGCTACCACATGGCACAGCAGACCTCTCTTGTTTCGCCCACTGCTCCCCTCAGCAGTGTAATTCAGTAGATTTGCCTGTTCTGCTCCTCAGTCTCTCTCTGGTGAACCCCACTCTCTCTCTGGTGAATCCTCTCACCACCCCGCACCTCTGGCTTACAACCCAGCTCTTGTATACATAAATAAATACATCTTTGAAAAAAAAAAAAAAAAGGTAGTGGAAAGAACTAGCCAAGAGACCCTGAAGAAATACAGCAGAGGGCCTCCCCGGTTGAGCGCTGGGTTGCAAAACTGCCTGCAGCCTCTGTAGCGCCGGTTCAATCCCCAGCTGCCGCCCGAGGGTCCCACATGGCGCGCAGACCTCTCCTGCCTCCCGCTGCTCCCCTCAGCAGTGTACTTTGTCAGTCTGCCTGCTCTGCTTTCCCCCCTGGCTCTGGTGAATTCTCTCCCCCTCCCGCGCTTCTGACTGTACCCAGTGCTTGTATAAATAAATAAATAAACCTTTTTTTAAAATTAATTAATTAAAAAAAAAAAAAAGAAATACAGCAGAGACCTGCATGGAAGGCTCCACGTCCACTTCAATCCGCCTCTTCAGAATGGACTTCTTGGGCATCACAGAGCCTTCCTCAGGCCGGTGTAAAGAAAATGCTGGCCCCGAGGCAGGTAGGACACCTGACAATCCAGGGATGGGGCGGCTAGTGCCACCACCATCAACTTCCACCAGCTCCTGACTCAGGCGCCTACTCCGTTCCTCCTCTTCCTCTCGTTTTCTCCTGGCAGGGTCCAACTCGCGAAACTCAGGGTCCAGAAGCCTAGGGCTTGGGCTTCGTCTACGCTGTCCATAGTTGCGCATCCCTGGCGGGTAGCTGGGGTGATCATCTCCCTTGCAGTGGATCTTCTCTGTGTCGTCGTAACGGGGCCGCTTGGCCTCCCGGCTCCTTTCCTCAGGTCGGAGACAGTAGGAGCCTTTCAGTTTGTCTCGACTCCGTTCTGCTCCCCGCAGCAGCTCATCGTGACAACTGATGTGGGGAAGATAGTCAGAATGATGCACGAAAGCCTCTCTTGCTCGGTAGTCCTCTTCAGGCTGTCCCAAGAAGGGACTGAGAGGCCCCTCCTCCTGGGAAATATAGCGTTCAAGACCTCGAGGGCACTGGGAGCTTCGAGTGAAGACAGAATCATCAGTCAGGTCATCCCTGAGGAGAGACAAGCACAACTGAATATAACAGATGTGGAAGGAGCAAGGCCAGACAGGCGAAGAGACTGATAACTGGCAACAAAGCCGCACAATACAGTCTTAGGGCAAGAGACAGTGATCATGGAGCCCGAGAACAAGCCTATGCGTAGACATGGCATGTCCCTTTCTCTGGGGCACAGCAGCTTCAGTCTCTAAGAAGGGTCTTATGAATAATCTACCCAGATGCATCTCCTAGGTGCATTTTTTTTTTTACGATTTATTTATTTATGCATTCAAGAACTGGGGTACATGCCAGAGGTGCAGGGGGTGACAGCATCCACCAGAGACAGAGTGGGGAGCAGAACAGAAGGACTGAGTGAAATACACTGGTGAGGGGAACAGCAGGTGAGTCAGGAGAGGTCTGCTGCACCGTGTGGGTAGCTCTCTGGTGGGGGCTCAAACTTGTGCTGCAGTGGCTGCAAATAGCTTCACAGGTTGTGTCTTAACCCCTCGCGCCACCAGGGAGGCCCTAATTTTTAAAGATTTATTAATTTATACAAGAACTGGGGTAAGGCCAGAGGTATGGGGGGTGAGAGAATTCACCAGAGACAGAGTACGGAACAGAACAGGCAGATCGACAGAAATATACTGCTGAGGGGAGTAGCAGGCTAGTCAGGAGAGGTCTGCTGAGCCATGTGGGTACCTCCCTGGCCGGGGATCGAACTTGTACTGCAGTGGCTGCATATAGCTTCATAGGTTGCACCCCAATCCCATGCACCACCAGGGAGGTTCTATTTTTGTTTTGTAAAAGATTTATTTATTTATGCATATGTAGGGTAAATGACTGAATGTGAGGCTTTTCTGTCCTCCCACCATTAGGATTGATGATGGATCTCTGTGGTCCTGAATGTATGCCTGAAGTGGGCACCTGCAGTGGGGTGTGGGCATATGTAGATGGGTACACCTGGGTTGAGAGACTGGGCTTATAAGGCAGTGTCATGGAGACACCAGCAGACCAGAGGAGAACAAGCGAATAACCGTAAGAAAACCAGCAGAGAAGCAGAGGTCACTAGGGAAAGCCGGAGAGCCCAGAAAAGAGTGAAGATTCCCAGGGGGCTAGGAGGCCTGCCAGCCTCCTGGCCCCCCAGCACTCCTGCCTGCTGTGTACCTGGTAAAATCCCAATAAAAGCCTGAAAAGCCACCTCCAGGACTTCTCCTTTACCCTTCTACATAGAATCATAGAGATCCTGCATCTGTGCCCTTCCTGCCACTACAGCATGCAAGAGCTGGAGTGCAGGCCAGAGGTGTGGGGGTGGTGAGAGGATTCATCAGAGACAGAGTGGGGAACAGAACAGGCGGACTGACTGAAACACACTGCTGAGGAGAGCAGCAGATGCAACAAGAGAGGTCAGCTGCGCCATGTGGGTCACCTCCCTGGCTGGGGATCAAACTCATGCTGCAGTGGCTGCGGATAGCTTCACAGTGCTGACGCTTAACCCCCTGGGCCACGAGGGAGGCCCCAGTAGGCATAGACTAAATATTAGGAATAAGATGAATTAAACTCTACTCACACTTTGTTCTCCCTCTATCCCCTAACTTGTTAACTGGCTAGACCTGCATTCTGGAACTTAAAAATTGTCTTACATCCTGTAGGGTAAGGAAAAATGTCAGGCTTTTCTGCCCTCCCACCATCAGGATAGATGATGGATCCTTGCGGTCCTGAATGCATGCCTGATGGCGGGCACCTGGAGTAGGGTGTGGGCATAGGTGGATGGGATTCACCTGGGCTAAGATTGGGCTTTTAAAGGCAGCGTCAGGAGGATGCCAGTAGAAGCCAAAAGAGAAGCCGAGAGAGAAGCAAGAGAAGCTGAAGCTGAGAGAAGGTCGGAGAGCCCAGAGTGAAGACCTGCTGGGGGCTGGCGGGCTGGCAGGCTCCCAGCCCCCCAGCGCCCCTGCCTGCCATGTACCTGGTAATCTAAATAAAAAGACCTGCAAAAAGCCACTAAGAACTCTGACTCCTTCACCCGGTCTGCTGGATCAGAAAACCTGCACTGTGTCCATTCCTGCCTCTACACATCCCCCATAAAATTTTTCTGTGCAGAGATAATGGCATTAGAAACAAACATTAGGGGCCTCCCTGGTGGCGCAGCGGGTTGAGCGCAGGGCTGTGAAGCTGTCCGCAGACTCTGCAGTGCCAGTTTGATCCCCGCCAACTGCAGAGATACCCACATGGCGGGACAGACCTCTCCTGCCTCTCCCGCTGCTCCCCTCAGCAGTGTTTTCAGTCGTCTGCCTGTTCTGCTCCCTGCTCTGTCTCTGGTAAATCCTCTCATCACCCACACCTTTGGCCTGTACCCTAGCTCTTGTATAAATAAAAAATAAATCTTGAAAAAAACAAACATCAGGGCCTCCCTGGTGGCGCAGGTGTTAAAGACAGTGCTGTGAAGCTCTCTCCAGCCACTGCAGGAGGAGTTCGGTCCCCTGCTAGCTAGGGAGCAATCCAGAGTGCAGCAGATCTTTCCTCTCTCCCCGCTGCTCCCCACAGCAGTGTATTTCAGTTGATCCACCTGTTCTCCTCCCCACTCTGTCTCTGGTGAATTCTCTTACACCCCCATGCCTCTGGCCCACACCCCAGTTCTTATATGCATAAAAAATAAATCTGGGCCTCCCCGGTGGCACAGTGGTTGAGTGCTGGGTTGGGAAGCTGCCCGCAGCCTCTGCAGCACTGGTTCGATCCACGGCTGCTCCCCGGTCACCAGAGGAGGGTCCCACATGGCGCGCAGACCTCTCCTGCCGCCCGCTGCTCCCCTCAGCAGTGTACTTCGGTCCCTCTGCCTGCCCTGCTTCCCACTCTGGCTCTGGTGAATTCTCTCACCCTCCCGCGCTTCTGACTGTACCCAGTGCTCGTATAAATAAATCTTTAAAAAAAAAAATCTTAAAAAGGTTTAAAAAAAAAATCAGCTAAGACACACTCTGCTGGGGCAGTCAACACACTGCTTCAATTGTGCAGAATGCCCTTGGACAGGGAAATGTGAAGCCCTGTACATTCCTTTGCCCCTTCTATATCCCAGCACTCCCACCATTTGGGAAGCCAGTTGTTTTGAGATGTCTAAATCTGCCAAATCCCTTTGGCAGCTAACTCAAATTACTCTCTGGAAAGACTTTTCTCATGGTTCAGAACTTGCATGAAAAACCAAGTCTTAGTTACAGATAAGTAGAATTAAACTCTGAACAGTGAACTGCATTTCTCCTTTAGGACTAAGCATTAACTGGCTCCAACAGCATTCCTGGGAAGTGGACAATTGTGTTACATCCCTAATGAGTTTTCTGTCCCTCAGGGTCAGGGAGACATCTGATTGCCAAAGAGGACCACCCTGGGTCTCCCAGGTGGTACAAGGGGTTAAGCACCACACTATGAAACAATCCGCAGCCTCTGCAGCACGAGTTCGATCCCCAGCCGGCCAGCGAGCAACCCACATGGCGCAGGAGACCTCTCCTGTCTCGCCCACTGCTCCCCTCAGCAGTGTATTTCAGTCAGTCTGCCTGTTCTGCTCCCCACTCTGTCTCTGTGAATCCTCTCCCCCGCTCTCCCCCCGCATCTCTGGCCTGTACCCCAGCCCTTATATGCATAATTAAATCTTCAAAAAAAAAAAAAAAAAAAAGAGGACCACCCTGTGGGGGGAAAAATAAACACCTTGATGCCATTCCTCCACTACCTGTTTCATGCATGTAGGGTAAAGAAATGTCAGGCTTTTCTGCCCTCCCGCCATCAGGATAGATGATGGATCCTTGCGGTCCTGAATGCATGCCTGATGGCGGGCACCTGGAGTAGGGTGTGGGCATAGGTAGACGGGATTCACCTGGGCTAAGACAGTGCTTTTAAGGGCGGCGTCACAGGGACGCCAGCAGAAGCCAAGAGAGAAGCAGGAGAAGACAAGAAGCCGAGAACGAAGAGAAGCCGAGAGAGAAGCAGAGAACACCGGAGAACCCGGACAGAGTGAAGACTTGCTGAGAGCTGGGAGGCCTGCCAGCCTCCCGGCCCCCCAGCACCCTTGCCTACTGTGTGCCGGGTAAATCCCAATAGAAGACCCACAAAAAGCCACTGAGGACTCTGACTCCTACTTTACCCGGTCTGCTGGATCATAGAAAACCTGCACTGTGTCCAGTCCTGCCCTTACACTCCACTACCTGTTTCCTGCACTAGCTGGAGGTGAAGATAGGGATGATTATTAACATAGTTGTTAAGCTGGCTATAAAAAACTTCACACAAGGCCAGGAACCTAAGGAGGGGGCAGAAAAAGTCAACAATCTTTTTAGCAATCAGAGAATAATGAAAAATCCCACATAAGAATAAATCTCCCTCCTCATGAGCTTGATCCCTTGCCAGGGAGCTGACCCACATGGCGCAGCAGACCTCTCCTGTCTCGCCCGCTGCTCCCCTCAGCAGTGTATTTCAGTAGATCTGGCAGTTCTGCTCCCCACTCTGTCTCTGGTGAATCCTCTCACACCACCCCGCCCCCCTCACCCCAGCACCTCTGACTTACCATCCCAGTTCTTGTATGCATAAATAAATCTTAAAAAAAAAAAAAAAGAATGACTCTCCCCAAAGACCATTATATAATGATACCCCTTGCTCTGGCAAAATGTGGGTCTTGTCCCAAGACTGCCCACAAGTGCCTATGCAAGTGTCTATTTTAATAAACCTGTTCCTTTCAAATGCAGCTCTCTGCCAACATGTTTCTATGCCAGTGCCTCTTTTTTCATTTCCCTTTTTCCTAATAAACCTGCCCTTTTCAAATGCAGCCTTTGCCTGTTTGAATCTTTGCAAACATATCCATTTAATCAGTGAACTCCCTGTGTGCTGCTGACTAAGAAACTGTTGAAACCTTTCTTAGAGGTATCCCAAGGACCCCACTAACTGAACCTCATTATTACTAAGTGTTAGCACCTGGTCCTCGGACTTGCTACCCAGCTGTCCCCTGTGTCTGCACATTATTGGTGAAAACATCATTAGTGAAAACACCTAAAATGCCACATGGAGACCTCTCAGAAAATATACTTTCTCTTTCATTATTTTTTCGTGACTTTTGTGAGGTGAAAAACACTTAAATGTGATTATTTACTTCCTACATTTAGTTAGCTCCTAATACTGGCTTTAAAAAAAAAGATTTATTTATTTATGCATACAAGAGCTGGGGTATAGGCCAGAGGTGTAGGGGGTAAGAGAATTCACCAGAGATAGACTGTGGAGCAGAACAGGCAGATCTATTGAAATACACTGCAGGAGGGAGCAGTGGGTAAGATAGGAGAGGTCTGCTGTGCCATGTGGGTTAGCTCCCTGGTCAGGGATCCAACTCATGCTGCAGTGGCTGCTGACAGCTTCATAGTGCTGCGACTTAACCCCTTGTGCAACCAGGGAGACCTGCTTTCCCTTTCTTATCACTCAATAGTTGTAAAATAATATCTGAATTCAAACATTTTAAACTATGTGTAACTATGATATTGTCATTTATAGGAAATATATATTTGGTCAGACAATTAAAATATATTTTTCAGATATTTGGTCTTTATCCAGTTTCTCTCTCACAGGTCTCAAAATGCTTGGAATTTTCTTAGAGTTGAGAATGACAAAAGCATATTTTGTTAAGTGAATTCAGTGACTTTTTGCATCACCTAAGGGGGTTTGGAGCAGGCTGGTGGACTGAAAAAGCAAATGTGTGATTAGAGGGTTGGAACTTTTGGAACCTCTTGGGAGGCGCAAGAGGCTAAAGATGAACTGCCAAAGGAGCAGATTTCATCAGTCATACCCAAGTAAGGAAACCTCCATAAAAAACCAAGAGGTAGGACCTCCCCAGTGGCTCAGCAGTTGAGCGCTGGGCTGTGAAGCTGCCCGCAGCTTCTGCAATGCCGGTTCGATCCCCGGCCACCAGGCGAGGGTCCCACATGGCGTGTAGACCTCTCCTGCCGCCCGCTGCTCCCCTCACAGAGTACTTCGTCAGTCTGCCAGTTCTGCTCTGCTCTCCGCTCTGCCTCTGGTAAATTCTCTCACCCTCCCGCGCTTCTGACTGTACCCAGTGCTTGTATAAATAAATAAAATAAAATCTTAAAAAAAAAAAAAAAAAAAAACCCCAAGAGGTAAGGATAACTTCCTGGTTGGTGAATATATGGAGGTACTGGGAGAATGGGAAGTATAAAGGAGAGTATGGAAGCTCTGTGCTTCCTTTCATACCTTGCCCTATGCATCTCTTCCCACTGATATTCCTGAGCAGGGAACAAAACAGGTGGATCTCCTGAAATACAATGCTAAGGGCAGCAGCGGGCGAGACAGGAGAGGTCTGCTGTGCCATGTGGGTAACTCCCTGGCCGGTTGGGGATTGAACTTGTGCTACAGAGGCTGTAGATAGCTTCATAGTGCTGTGTTTAACCCCCTGCACTACCAGGGAGGCCCCTGAGTAATATTTTTATGCCATAAATTGGTATCTAGTGAGTAAAGGGGTTTCCTAAGTTCTGTAGGCTCCTCTAGCAAATTGAGGGAACCTGAGGAAGGGCTCATGGGAACCTCTAATTCATAGTGCAAGAGCACAGGGGAAAAATTACCCACCCTTCTGGGTTCTTCTGAGGCTATATGGACAAACAGATTAGTACAACAAAAAGACTGAATTTAATAACATACACAAAGAATTCATGATGCTATAAATTCTAAAATAAAAGGGGCAACACAGAGCTTTATATTATATTATATGCTAAGGGATCAGAGACATTAAGGAGAGAGAAGAGGGTTTCATAGGAGAAAGTTTCACATAAGGGAATGATTGCACCAGACAAAACCTTGCCTCTACATATTTGCCCTGCCTTAAGATAAGTTTCTCTGATTAAAAAGAAAACCTACATTCTTGAAATAATGATAACACTTTCTCTGGAGGCCCAAGGGCTCTAAACTAACATACCAGCTGACAATTTAGAAAAGTCCTATTAGCAAGGGAAAAGACCTACTAGGGATGCTTGGGAAAAGTCTGCTAATCCTTTTTGGGGATATGGATCCCACAATAGCCAATTTGTCAATAGCTAGATGATAACCTGGGCTTAAGAATGGTGTCTGAAGTTTAAGGAGGGGGGTTATAGAATCTTTAACCTTCAAAATCATTTTAGTAGCATGTGAAGTAGAAAGTGGTCTTGGAGGACTGAGTCATTTTCCTGTCTAATCTGATGTTATCTCCAAATAGTCACTAACAAAATTCAATTCACTTCTCAGACATCCTGCAGGAGTCTGGAATTACCGGGTATGGGAAAGCCTCCACACCTTCATTTGGAAATTATTCTCAAGAACCCTGTAACTAACTTTCTATTAATGCTTGCATTATTTAATGTAGATACATATACATATATTAGACATGAATTTATTTGGGGCAAAGGGTTAAGCTCAGCACTGTGAAGCTATCCATAGTCTCTGCAGCACAGGTTCGAGCCTCAGTTGACCAGGGAGCTAACTAACCCACATGGCACAGCAGACCTCTCCTGTCTTACCCACTGCTCCCCTCAGCAGTGTATTTCAGTCAGTCTGTCTGTTCTGTTCCCCACTCTGTCTCTGTGAATCTTCTCACCCCCTGCACCTCTGGCCTGTACTCCAATTCTTATATGCATAAATAAATAAATCTTTAAAAAAAATTTTTTTAATATTTATTTATTTATTTATACAAGCACTGGGTACAGTTAGAAGTGTGGGAGGGTGAGAGAATTCACCAGAGCCAGAGCAGGGAGCAGAATAGGCAGACTGATGAAATACACTGCTGAGGGGAGCAGCCAGCGGTAGGAGAGGTCTGCATGCCATGTGGGACCCTCGCCGGCAGTCAGGGATCGAACCAGAGCTACAGAGGCTGCAGGCAGCTTCGCAGCCCAGCGCTCAACTGCTGCGCCACCAGGGGAAGCCCTAAAAAAAATTTTTTTTTTAATTTTTAAAATGTATATTTTGGCACATATTATTAAAAAAGACGTTTTTGTCTTTTAGAATCTACTGTACTATAGTATTTTATTTTTTAAAGATTTATTTATTTATTTATACAAGCACTGGGTACAGTCAGAAGCGCGGGAGGGTGAGAGAATTCACCAGAGCCAGAGCAGGGAGCAGAGCAGGCAGACGGACCGAAGTGCACTTCTGAGGGGAGCAGCGGGCGGCGGGGGGGTCTGCGCGCCCTGTGGGACCCTCCTCTGGTGGCCGGGGAGCAGCCGGGGATCGAGCCGGCGCCGCAGAGGCCGCGGGCAGCTTCGCAACCCAGCGCTCAACCGCTGCGCCACCGGGGAGGCCCTGTACTATAGCATTTTAGAATCCCTATCATCTCAGCTGTTTTCAATTTGAAGACTCTATGTGCTCTCCTCCCCTTTTCAGTTGGACCAGTGATCTACTTCGTCCTTTTTTTTTTTAAAGACTTATTTATTTATGCATACAAGAACTGGAGTGTAGGCCAGAGGTATGGGGAGTGAGAGGATTCACCAGAGACAGAGTGGGGAACAGAACAGGCGGATTGCCTGAAATACACAGCTCAGGGGAGCAGCAGGGAGACAGGAGGGGTCTGCTGTGCCATGTGGGTTGCTCCCTGGCCGGCAAGGTTTTGCTGCAGTGGTTGGTGAGAGCTTCACAGCACTGTCTTTAGCACCTGCGCCAACAGGGAGGCCCAAGGACCAGTGATCTTATAAGCTAAAGTTTTTCTTTTACATAATTCTCACATAACAGAATGTACATCAACATGCTCTGCCCACTCAGAGGTCTTACAATGTTTTCCTCTGTGTGAACAGAGGGCATAGCTTCAGTACTGGCACTGAGATAGGGAGGGTCCTAGGACAAGGACAGAACTTGACTGTTCCTACAGGCTAACTTGGTCAAACAAATCTAATGACTCAAAAAAGGTACAAACACCTGGCATGAATTTCCACGGTGCATTGTTTTTTATTACTAATTTTTCCCCAGTCTGTACATTCCTATATCTTTACAGCTTAACAAGTCCCCAGGCTGTTGCAAAAGAAGGGAGTTACAGACCCTGATACCAGACAGATTGGAACTAAAGCTGAGAGCATAAGCATGTGCACAACCCCTGGAGATGTTCACAAGTCCTGTATGACCACCAATATGGTCTGTAAATGGACCATATTCTGATGAAAACGTGAACTTTGGCCATGCCACATTCCTTGCTTTCTCAGCAATAAAGTTTAATTTCTTTGCTCTCAAGTTCCAGTCTCAAGCCCCAGCCTATAAACAAATAAAGACTCCAACTCATAGCCAAAGCGTTCTCCCTAGAGGTTTATTTCTTTGTTCTTTCACGAATCAATAAACACTTTATCTTGCCTACACTGGTGTATGAGGAGACCCCGTTTCAATCTTGACCAGAGGGTATCAAAACCCCTTAAAGGCTTGAAGGAGGCCCCCGGTCTATCCTGCTTTCCAACAGGTAACTCAGTGAACAGCAGCTAGCTCACTCTGGGTTTATCCACCTGCGATGCTGGAGGGTGAAATCAGACCTGAGGAACCTCCCATATGCAGTGATAGCACCATTTTCTAAAGATATCATTGAGAAAACAATTCTACTTTCAAGTACAATTACAGTGTGTACTGCCTCAGTGAAGGGTATAACCTACCTGTCCACATCATCCAGATTATCGGCAGGTGATCCCAGTTGTTGACTTAGCTGCCGCCATTTGGGAATGGGAATACGGAAGTGGACGTTGCCAACAGTGATCCTTAAGCTCTGTTCCAAAGAATCAGAATACAGACCAGGGGAGCAGCTCTACAAAAGTAAAAGATGATATAATGATCAATAGGGTCACAACAGCCAAGATATGGAAACAACCTAAATGGCCCAAAACAGATGAATGAATCAAGAGGATGAGGTATATATAATGAAATACTACTCAGCAATCAAAAAAAAAAAAACAAAACAAAACTCATGCCATTTGTGGCAATATGGAGGGGCTGGGAAGGATGATGCTAAGCACAATTAGCCAAGGAAGGGCCTCCCCTGGTGGTGCAGCGGTTGAGCGCTGGGTTGCGAAGCTGCCCCGCAGCCTCTGCAACACTGGTTCGATCCCCAGCCACCGTGCAAGGGTCCCCCATGGCGCGCAGACCTCTCCTGCGGCCCGCTGCTCCCCTCAGCAGTGTACTTCGGTCCTTCTGCCTGTTCTGCTCTCCTCTCTGGCTCTGGTGAATTCTCTCACCCTCCCGCGCTTCTGACTGTACCCAGTGCTTGTATAAATAAATAATCTAAAAAATAAATAAATAAGCCAAGGAAAAAGATTAAATCTTCGATGGCTTTACCTATATGAAATATAGCAGAACCAAAGGGCGAGACAAAGACAAACCTTGAAAACTGACCATGGGTATGATATCCAGAGAGAAGGGAGTAAGAAGGGGTGGAAAGGGGAATGGAGGAACACAAACAAACCTGACAATATATGAGAAACCACATATTGTCTAGAAATTAACAATGTAAGAAAAAAGCACTACATTTAAAAAACATTTAAAAAAATGTAAAATAAAATAAGTGCCATTAAGGGAAGGGTTAAAAAAGAAACATTCAATAGGGTCAAGACATTCCTAGACCTGAAAAGGTTTTTTTCTCTAGTCATCATTGTGCTTCAAGGTGAGAAATGCCTAGGTAAAATATTACTCCAAAAATAAAGTGATTAAGGAAAATTATTTTCTTGGGCCTCCCCAGTGGCGCAACGGGTTGAACACAGTGCTGTGAAGCTGATCGAAGACTCTGCAGCGCCGATTCGATTCTAGGCTGGCCAGGGAGAGTCCCAAATGGGGGCGGCAGACCTCTCCTGTGGTGTCCACTGCTGCCCTCAGCAGTGTATTTTCGGTCTGTCTGCCTGTTCTGCTACCTGCTCTGTCTCTGGTGAATCCTCTCACCCTCCCACACCTCTGACCTGTACCCCATTTCTTGTATACAAGTAAGTAAATCTTTTTTTTTTTTTTAAAAAAGCAGCAGCTTTTCTGAGGTAATACCATTTACTCTGAGGCCTGAGGATGGGATGTCAGCCTTGCAAAGAACAGATGTAAGGATGTTTCAGATAAAAAGAATAAGCTCTGTAACAAACTTAGCCTGTTTTGTATAACAGAAAGGTTGTGTAACTACAGCAAAGTGTAGAAAATACCTCGAAGTCACAACTAAGAATGTGGAGTTTATTGTTAATGTACTAAGAAGCCACAGGAGGGTTTTAAGCAGGGAAATGATGTGATCTGACTACAGTCTTCCTCCAGCTGTGATGAGCATTGTTCACACCCTCATCTCCTCCAGGGCTTCATAAAAAGTCAACTTCCAAGGAGATCTTCACTAGCTACCCTATCAAAAACTATTAACTTTTTTCTTTTTTTTAGCACTTAATCACATTGAACATCTTCTCTTATATATCATCTGACTCCTGCTCCAAGAATATAAACTCCATGAGGGGGCCTCCCTGGCGGCACAAGGGGTTAACAGGCGACCTATGATCAGAGGAAGGAAGGGAGTATAACAGGAGACTGTAGTAATGGTGTACAGGTGTCTTGGGGAAGGAAATTCTATGGGGACTCAACCTGAGAGGGTGGGGGGAAGAAAATATTGTTTAAAAAAAAATTAAAAATTAAGGAAAAATTAAGAGGTCACCTATGAAGCCATCTGCAGCCAATGCAGCACAAGTTCAATCCCCGGCCAGGGAGCTATCTACATGGTGCAGCAGACCTCTCCTGACTAGCCCACTGCTCCTCTCAGCAGTGTATTTCACTCAGTCCACCTGTTCTGTTCACCACTCTGTCTCCAGTGAATCCTCTCACACACACACACCCCCCTCCCTGCCGCACCTCTGCCCTGTACTCCAGTTCTTGTATACATAAATAAATAACTTTAAAAGGAAAAAAAAACTCCATGAGGGCAGTGGGGTAGTCTGGTTTGCTCACTGTTTGCTCCCACTGCCCAGAATGGCACCTACCACATGGCAGATGTCAGTCTACTAGATGTATGAAACGGAGGTTTTAAAATGTCCCTTTGGTTGCTGCGTACACATAAACTGGAGGAGAACGAAACAGGAATGTAAGGGAGTTTAATGTGATGATCCAGGTGGGAAGTAATAAACTAGGGTAAGGACATGCAGAGTTTTGGGGAAGTATTTTGGCGGTAGAGCACAGGGAGATCAAGTTAATCTCACACATCAGATTTGGAAGTCGGCAGATGATCACTGCTTCTGACTGAGCAATGGGTGATGTCAGTCAGGACAGAGAAGGTTCCAGTCAAGAAACTGTACCTTGGAGAAGGACAGGAAGTCATGGAGACTAATAGTGCTTCCTCTGTAGCGACAAACACTCAAGAGTATCCCTGTTTAACTACGAAAACTTTAACAAAGACGAGTCAATTCACCCAGGACCAAGACTACCCAGAGCACTGGGATACGCTGGGAATCACTCAACAGGTTTAGAAAAAGTAGAAAAAGGAAAATGATGACACAGGTTTAAAAAAGATCGATGCCCTGCAAAGAACGACACATTTCAAAACACCACACCCTGCCCAGAGCCGCTATTAGACTTGGCATCAAGTGAGGCCGCATCCAGCCCACAGGCAACTTCTTCCCTCTGGCAGGGAAGCGTAAATCAATCTCCTGCGTGGGCAGCAGGCAGACCCGAGCGCCAGCGCAGCTGCACCCCTGCTAGCTGCGAGCCCTTCCCCCGGCGGCTCGGGCCCCTCTGGGCTCCTCAGCTGGTACCAGCCTCGTCTCACAGGGCTGGGAGTGCAAAGAGAACGGGTTTGCGAGCGCAGCGCCGACTGCGCCGCGCCTCAATGCGAGCCGGTCGCCGTTCCGGAGCCCGGGCTTCTGCGCGCCGCCCCTCGGAGCGGCAGCCGCTTTCACGCCAGTCGTCCGCCCCGAGCGGCCGCGGCCGCCCTCGCTCTCCGCCGGCGCGGCCTCGAAGCCCCCAGCCGGCAGGCTCAGCCCCGGGCATCCGGAACCGCGACCGGAGGAAGCGGCGGCTGCTGAGAAAGCCCCGGGCGCGCACGGTCCGGGCGGCGCCGCCCGGCAAACTTTCCCTCTCTGCCCTCCGCTGAAGCGGCCCGTGCCTGGAGCCGCCTCTCCCGCCCGGGGCCGTTACTCGCAGCCGCGGCTCCCGAGGGAGCGGGCGCCCCGGGGAGGGGCCTGCGCCGGGGTCCGGGCCTGGAGGCCGCGGAGCGCCGGGGCTGCGGGCGTCTCGGGAGGCGGGAACCCGGGGCGCGGGGGCCGGAGGAGGAGGGGTCGGGCCGAGGGTGGGGTTACCTCGCTGCCGCCGTCGCCGGGAGGGTCCCCGCGGAGATACCGGGCGAAGTCGGCGCGGGACACGCCACGCCGGCGGCCCCGGAACGCGGCCCGTCCGGGCGGCTGGGGGAACAGTTGCCTCCGCGGTGGCGGGGGCCAGAAATCGAGGCCGGCCCACGGCGGGGACGAGGACCGGACGCTGGGACACCCCCGCGGCGGGGCCGGCGAGGCCCGGCGCCCGCGGTACCCCGATCGCGAGCGGGAGCGGCGGGGCCGGCGACTCCGACCCCGCGGCGCGGGGCGGTTACTGCAGTCGGAGCTCGGGTCGCGCCCGCCGTTTTCTTCTGGGTGGTAGGTGGCTCCGAAGGCAGCGGCCTCGGCGGCAGGGTCACCCGCGGGCGCCGCTGCCTCCCGCCCGCAGGCCGTCTCCGCAGCCCCGACCACGGCCGCCATGGCCTCCAGGGCCGGGGGCCCGCGCGCGCCCCGCGCACGGGGTACACGCCTCTCTCTTCAGCCCGACTGCGCTCCTTGCCCTGGCGGTGGCGGGTGGCGGTTGAAGCGCTGGAGCAAGCGTGCGACGCACGCCCCCTGCTCTCAGGCATCGCGCCTCTCACTCCGCGAGCCGCCCCGCAGGCAGGAGAGCGCGGACTGGCCGGGCCGGGGAGGGTGAAGCGCGCGGGGTCGGCTCCGCACGCCCCGCCCCCAGGGGGCTCGGCCGGGGCCTTTACCCGCCCCCTCCCCGACCCCCTTCGGCCACGTGACGCGGGGGGGGGCGAGGCCTCGGGGCTGGGTGGCTCGGGACCCTAAGGAAAAGGGAATCCCGGGCCTCCTCAGGTGGCGCTGGCGGTTGAGCGCCGCGCTGTGAAGCTGCCCGCAGCCTCTGCAGCGCCGGTTCGATCCGGCCGGCCGGCGAGGGTCCCACATGGCGCGGCAGACCTCTCCTGTTGCGCCCGATGTTCCCCTCAGCAGTGTATTTCGTCAGTCTGCCTGTTCTCTTCCCCGCTCTGGCTCCGGTGAATCCTCCCACCCTCCGGAGCCGGACAACTGGCCTATCCCCCCCCCCCCCCGTTCTTGTATAAATAAATAAATAAATCTTAAAATAAAAAGAAATGAAAGGGATATCCCAGGGTTAAGCTCGACCAATGTCACCAGACGCCGATCTTCCAGGCCGTTGGAGTGTCTTCGCCCTTTTCCTGTCTGCCAAGGCCGTTAATTTACATGGGGACAATAAATGCTTATAAATGATCTCTCTCTGAGGTTAAACACATTGACAAGAGCGACCATGAAAGTCCTGGGCCCTGCTGAAGCCTCACCACAACCAAGAGAGCCCACCATCAGCTTACTTTCTAAAAGCAAGAGAAATGGGTGATGGAAAGTTAGGCGTGGAGGGTAGTGAGGGAGAGAATCAAATCCAATAAAAGTAAAATTTCCAGAGGTTCCTCACTCTCTAAGCTACAACACTTATGGCAGCCTGACAGATGGTCGTGCACCAGGAGGGGGGTCTTTCGTTGACGAATAGTAGGCCAGGAGAAGGTTGTTTTGTTATTTTTGTGAGAAATTGCACACACACAAATATATATGAGAAGTTTCCTGGAGGCCCCTGGAGTAGAAGTAGTTACCTGTCTCCTGGTCTGGCATACTAAGTACAAAAGTCAGAAAAAGGCAACTCACAAAGAAGAGTAGTCAAAAGATGAAAACTGTTGACACTAATTGTTGGGGGGAAAGGATGTTCTGAATAAACTCCACAAATGGGTTTTATGGACCCCACCCAACACACCAGACCAAAGAGATCCAAGACCCCCAGGATTACAAATCCCATAATGTCATCACCACTGAAGGGAGAATTGCTGGGAACTGAAGTTGGAGTTAAGCAGCAAGGCTTGATATACAGACTGGTGGGCCTTAAGGGTCCTCGGTTTTTCGCTGGCTTTCAGCCTCCCTTTGGGGTCCCAGCTCAGGGGAACTGCTAGGATGCATTCACTAATTTATCTCTGTCTCTCTCACTGAGTTTTCATTTCTTCATTTCCCCTTTTTGTAAATAAACTTTTGTGTGTACCTGCAGTTGAGTCATTATAAGTGTGGTGAGGACCCACAATGGGGTTGCCATGTAACAATCAGTCAAACTCTTCAAAATAAAACAATGGCTTAACATTTATTCATCTGTCAATCAGAAATACAAAACCTGGAATTGGTATGAAAATCAGATTTCTGATTTCAAATACACCCTGAAGAAAATGAAATGGGAAAAAGTGTACCCTACATATAAGACAGGTTGAAAAGTGGTAATCCAAATAATTGGTGAACGTGTGAAATTTCACAGAACACAGCAAAAATAACAAAAACCTAATGAGATACTACTTCACACTCAACAACAGTGCTAAAATGCCAGGTTTTTTCTGTACAGCAAAAGAGACATTAACTAAAACAAAGAGATATCCCACTGATTGGGAAATAATCTTTGTACTCCATATAACCGATAAGGGACTGATCACAAAGATATGCAAAGAACTCACAGGACTCAACAAGAACAAAGCAAACAATTCAGTCAAGAAATGGGCAGAAGGGGCCTCCCTAGTGGCGCAAGGGGTTAAGCACAGCACTTATGAAGCAATCCGCAGCCTCTGCAGCATCGATCCCCGCCCAGCCTGGGAGCAACCCATATGTAACAGCAGATCTCTCCTGTCTCACCCGCTGCTCCCCTCGGCAGTGTATTTCATTCGGTCTGCCTATTCTGCTCCCCACTCTGTCTCTGGTGAATCTTCTCACCCCCTTGTATCTCTGGCCTATACCCCAGCTCTTGTACACATAAATAAAGAAATCTTAAAAATATATATATGAAGTATATTAAAAAAAGAAAAGAAAAAGAAAGGGGCAGAAGAGGGGCCTCCCTGATGGCACAAGGGGTTAAAACGCAACCTATGAAGCTGTCTGCAATCTCTGCAGCACGAGTTTGATCCCAGGCCAGGGAGGTGACCCACATGGCGCAGCAGACCTCTCCTGACTTGCCCGCTGCTCCCCTCAAGCAGTGTACTTTGGTCAATCTGCCTGTTCTGTTCCCCACTCTGTCTTTGGTGAATCCTCTCACCCCCCACACCTCTGGCCTGTACCCCAGCTCTTGCATGCATAAAATAAATAAATCTTAAAAAAAAAAAAAGAAAGAAATGGGCAGAAGAACTTAAAAGACATTTTTCCAAAGAGGAAATGCAAATGGCCAAGAGGTATATGAAAAATGTTCACATCCCTTTTAATCAGGGAAATGCAAATCAAAACCACAATGAGATACCACCTTAAACCAGTAAGAATGGCATATATCAGAAAAAACTAGCAACAAGAAATATTGGCGAGGATGTGGTGAAAAAGGAACTCTCCTACACTGTTGGTGGGAATGCAAACCACTATGGAAAGCTGCCTGGAGTTTCCTCAGTCTACTAAAAATGAAGCTACCATTTGACCCAGCAATTCCACTCCTAGGGATGTAACCAAAGGACACAAAAACATTGAACACCTGTACCCCCTCCCCGCATCTCTCGTCTGTACCCCAGCTCTTATATGCATAAATAAATATTTTTTTAAAAAAGGTTGAAAATGATAGCTAAATACTGAAAACAATCTGTATCGCCTTCAACAGAAAAATGGATAAATGTTGGTACATGTGGTGCTGTGATTTATTAGAAACGTTTGTTTCATCTCCACTTGCTGGCTCACAAGTCCCAAATCATTTGGAATTTCCTGATCCATTAAAAGCAGGGGAACATCTTTTGTCTCACTACTCCCTCCAGGCCCTTGGAATTTCAGGAGTAAAAAGAGTCAAGGGAGCTTCTTTTGTTATACTATTTGGTTTCTCTTCCAAATAAAGCTTCAGAGTCCTAAAAGTTTAAATGGGTATATTGTTATTCTCCATGGGACTATGTTAATGATGCTAACTTCGGGGAAACACTGATGGAGGGGGCTGATTGCTAGGGAAAACAGGGGGAATGGATGGTTCAGTTCCCTGATTTCCTGGAAGGGCAGAGACACCAGACTTGGAGCTCAATTTTCAATGGCCAATTGTGACAGTGATGGCAGAGATGGATGGCAAAAGTCCGCCGCCAGTTTCACTAACTGGGGAAACGCAAATCCAATCACAATCACAGTTGCACATCCCTGTGCTCAACAGACTAGAACAAGGCATTCTGTTGACACCACAGGTTGGGGAACTGCAGGTTTCCACCCCTTCCCCCTGCACGGAATAGCCTGCATTACTTTGATCAGGATCCCCACTGGAGGCGCTAGAGGGCCAATAGTGTATTCTGAACACATTCCAGGTATATGCCAGAAAATCACCAGGGTGCAGACTCACAAAGTATCACCTGACTGGAAGTGGGACCACCAACCTAAAAAGATGACACACAGGTGACAAGATGGAGGAGAATATTCGGCAGCAATTCCACAACCTTAAAAGCCCCAGTTAAATCCCAGAGGGGGAGCTGCTTCTTTCAGAAAGGTCTCCCTGGAACTCTGTCTCTTGCCCTTTTGTTTTCAGTGAGCTATAGAGCTCCCATTGACAGTGTCTTGAGTAAACATTGCAGTCTTTAAAAAAAAAAAAAAAAAAGATTTATTTTATTTATTTATGCATATAAGAGCTGATGTGTAGGCCAGAGGTGTGGGGGGTGGGGGGGCTGGGATTCACCAGAGATAGAGTGGGGATCAGAACAGGCAGATCGACTGAAATACAGGGGAGAAATGGGTGAAACAGGAGAGGTCTGCTGCACCATATGTGGGTTAGCTTCCTGACTGGGGATTGAACTCATGCTGCAGTGGCTGCTTATAGCTTGATAGTGCTGAGACTTAACACTTTGAGCCAAAGGGAGATCCCCAACCATTGCATTCTTGAGTGGTATACTGCAAGGTCCATTGATAATGCAATGATTAATCAGCTGTGCCAGTAATGAAGCCTCAATAAAATCCCTAAAAGGAAAGTTGGGAGAGCATGCAGGTTGGGGAACAAGAGCACTTCCATGTAGTACCTTGCCATATATGCCCCAGCCTCCATGAGGACAGATGCCCCTTTGTTCCTATCCTGGTCCTTTGTCTTCAACTAGCTGTTGATTTGATTAATATCTTTTATAATAAATCAACATTCCATTGAGTAACTGAGTTCCCTAAGTTCTATGAACCATTCTAGCAAATTAATCAAACTTGAGGAAGGGATCTGATTTACAGACATTAAGTCAAAAGGTAACAGTCTGGGCTAATAACTGGCCAATGAAGTTGTTGCTGCTTGACTGGGTTCAGGTCAGTCTCAGAGACTGAAGAATAATCACCCGCACACCAGACTAAAGATTAGCAAACTCAGGTTTATTCCAAGAAAGACTCCTGACAGCAGAGGGAGGGTTCAAGGGAGGAGCCCATTATTGTGAGGGGTAGATTTCCTTTTTATAAGCTTTCTTGGGGGCTTTCTGCTGTTCTGGTAA